AGATATCCCTCGTGTAGCTTTGCGCGAAATTCATAACAAACCTCACAAAATACTAGTTTAGTATAATAAAAACCATTGGATTAAACTAAATGTATTAATACAGCATCAAGTAAAAAGAATTAGATATAGAACGTCCCGATAATGTCATTTTTAATTATTCTAATTACATAATAAAAGTAATTGAAAATAAAGTTTTGGATAATGGTTTTAAAGTTCAACACTTAAGAAATTACAATTTGATTTTTTTTTCTCAATTCTAAATTGCTGTTCCAGCAATTATTAAAATAGCTTATTTGGCCAAAAAGTGAGGAATCTTTAACTAATATTAAAACTCAAGTAGGCGGAAAGACTTTAATTTAATTTAATAATTACAACTTGAGATATAGGCCCTTAAGCATAAGTAAAGAGCAGGTTTTAGCGTTTAAAAAACTTAAACCTGAAACTGTATCGCTAAATTTAATATAGAAAATCATTAACGTAAGATCAATAGGATTTTAAAAGGCACAAGAAAATTTGTTAAGTGAAATCAAGATTCTGTTAGAAATAGAAGAATCACTTTAGAAAACAAAAAATACAGTTTATTCACCAAACAGAATCATTAGATCACCAGGATTCGTTTTTTTTTTTAACTTTAAAGAAATAGCGATGGGCGGAATCAAAACCTAAAATGTTAAGTTTTATTAGCTGAGCCACCGGGAGTTCTACCCTCATTATTAAACAATTTTTCCTGGGCTATGTGATTAACCACAAACCATTTTGTTTTGTATATTGCTACTTACGAATATACAAAAGCAGTTTATTTATTTAAATTTGGAATAGATTTACTTGTGATAAGCACATATTAAATGATGATTTTAATTTTGAAATAACAATTCAAAACCTCAATACCCATAGCAAAATTTGTTGTGACAGTTTTGGATATAGAATCTTTGGGTACTAACATTCCTTTAGAAGAAACGTACAACTAAGAACCTAGCTAGCTTACTACGATGATAAGAATGATTTATAAATTCGCCATTTTTATTTTATTTTATCAATTTCGTTGCTGAAGACTCCCTGTCTTTTACGATACTCTTTACAGCCAAATAGATACAGTAGCTATCGTATTGACCAGTCTCTTTCCTGGTTTTAATTGAAAACGGTGTCCAGAAAAATTCGGCGTCTTTAAAACCTTTATATCATTGTAAACCAAAGATATGGTAATGATACTTTTACCAATTTTAAACATTCTAAACATGTTTCCAAATTCTTAGAATATCTTAATAGTAGACATGATAGCATTTTAGTTACAGTATAAACTTAGTAAGGTCATTCGCAAAAATCACAAGTCTTTATTTAGTTTTGAATGTTGCACGCCAACTCCGCTTAAGAGCACACTTAGATCTTGATCCATTGTGTTTAAGAGCAAACTTAGATCCTGATCCATTGTGTTTAAGAGCAAACTTAGATCCTGATCTGTTGTGTTTAAGAACAAACTTAGATCCTGATCCATTGTGTTTAAGAGCAAACTTGGATCCTGATCCATTGTACGTATAAAATAAAAACCACTTATGATTTCTTTCACAATGAGTTTGAAAACTTCGAGAGGTACTTGCATTAGGATTACTTTTCTGTTGGTATGATTGGTGGCAAAATTAATGAGAAATTAATTCAGAGGAATTACACTGCGATCCTAAACTATGAAGTTCCTAAAGTTTTAGAAACTAGGCAACTAAAGCTCAGGTTTCGATATCCACTGTGGGGATCACGCAGATAAACTCTTGTGTAGCTTTGCACTTGAAAATTATTTTCTTATACAAATACACAAGAAAACCACTGAAGATAGCTGAAGTTACTTATTCATCTATTTGTCTTTGTTGTACACGAGGCTATATTTCTTCCAATACGATATGGCTGAACATGCAAGTTTCAAAAGTCTTTCACATCACGAAGTTAGAACACCATTTATGTGATTGTCATGTAGCGTCCATTCAAATCATTTAAGACTAAATTCGACGATAAACACAATCTCCGTATAAGAATGAGTGCTTTCTCATCCACAGATTGAGACCACAAATCAATTAAATTAGATGTCCTTATAACTTACTACTTAACATTAACTGTGCTGTTGTTAAATGCCAATTTTAGAGATACCCATGTAAATATACGAGGTTAGATTTAAATTAATTCATAAAATGTAAAATGTCACATTTGATGCAATGTTCTGAATGTTTTGAGCATTTTATGCCTAAATTATACTAACAACTGAGGTAAAAAAACAACGTACACATCATTTTAGTACAAAAATCATTACGATGCTCTAGTACAAACCTAACTATAGTATTTTAATATACATACGTCATCATATTACTATAAAATAAACCGTACTGCGTAGTCATTCATAAGACTATAATCGAAATCATAGATATATATGCTACATATCTTTTATAAATATACAAACAGTTATTCACGAACAAAATATTGTGTTCCAATGAAATATTGTGGTTATTGATTAAAATTATTAAAGTATATTTTCATTTGTTAACCAACACTATGGGATATTAATTTACCACAGTTCAATGAGTTCACAAGATCTATTGATATGAAAATGTGGTTCTGATGATTTAACCTTACGAAAATATTTAGTACCTTCTGCTTCTCTTCGTAACTGATGTCTTCTCCGTAGACAGCAGGCTACAATAAAGGCAATTAAGATAAAGATCACTGCTCCGCATACAGCAATGGATGTCCAAACTAACCGTGATATCAGCGCCTCCTTGCTGTAGACTTGATTGTTCACGACCTTCGTAGACTCCACTGATGGAACAGCTAAAAAATTATTACAATGGATAAGTTGTTACACCTTAAAAGCCTTGTGTGAGTTATTCTGAAAAAAACAAACAATAAAAACGATTTCGATAACTGAAGGCTATTATAGTAGAAATATTATGAGATGAAATATTTTTAGCAATGCAAGTTATTATAAAGTAATTTGGGCTATACATTATATCGTTTAGAGGTTGAATACGTTATATTCAAACGATATAGGAGCCTCACCACGTGATTTCAGTTCATGTCGCCACGTTCGGTAATGCTCTTTGTGACAACAGTGCGTCTTGAAAACAGCCAAACACCGTAGATTTCATTGCAGAAGGCTCAATTTCAAGGCTGTCATGTCCAAAGCACACCACTTTTATCTGCATTGTTTCCTTAATCCATATAGTGTTTGAGTACAGTGGTTTCTCAGGGTCTATTTCAACTATCCCATCGCATAGAAATCCACAGTCGCTGAATTCAACGAACTGACCAATGTCTTATTAAAGAATACGACGAATACCTGTTTCATTCTCAAACTGCTTCAGGTATGCGACAGTTGAATGGGAAGTATGACTGGGAGAACCCATACCCCGTAAGCTTTGTTTCCAAGTAGGGATCATTCTTGATTATATCGAGTACTAACATTTGTGTTCGTATATTCTCACCTGTTAGAAAATGCCAGATTCTGTTTACCGCGGATTTTAGAAGGTATCTTTCTGGATGGTTCTGGTGCCTATAGTTGATCTATATACTTTTGGTTTCCAGTGCCATTAAGTACAAGAGATGTGCCCTTTATTAAAATTTTAAATCCTTGATCTAAACACATCTTTATAACGTAAGTGTATAAATATTTTGCGTCGGAAAGGACTATTAGATACCCTTTTCAAAAGTGATCAATTTTCTATGGCCTCATACTACCTACAAAACCACAAACAATGTCAAAATGTAGTTCTGATACATTGCATTCCACTGTTACTTTAAATTAATCGTGGTTGTAACGCGATTTGTGGATTTACTTATTTAAATTCCTTTTAATATTACGTACTCAATCCTCCGTACAATCTTCTGTATGTATAAGTTAGTTACATTTTTCTTGTAAGAATAATTTAATCTTTAATAACTAAAGTAAGTCCAGATTATTTTCCTTGGCATATGCGCCCCGAGCACAGAATCCAGAAGGACAGAGCTATTTCATATTCTTCCTCAGAGGTGTTCATTTTCTTTTGTGTGTTCCCTAAAAATGGGTCACGGTCCACGGACAGAATCGTGGCAAAGAACACAAGGGTTTATTACATAACTTGTATTATCTTTATTTGTATACTAAACTTGTTGTGTATTTCGTTCACCAAAACTTTTTTTTTTATTTTACAGAAAAGAAACACGCAATCTTCAAAAATGCAACAAACCATTTTAATGGCCAATTTCAAATGAAAGAAGAGTCAGTCGACTCGTTTTCTTCTTGAACGCTTTTAAAAATAATTGCTTTAATTGAAATATCTATGGCTATAATATAATTATTTGTCCGCAATAAACCTTTCCTGTGATTATGATTGTTATACAGTCCAAAAAGGAAATACAACTGTTTTTAAAATGTTTCCTAGACGTTTCAAAACATCACATTTATCATCTGTTTATCTTAACAGTACGCACCGCTTACCATAAACCCTTACAACCTTATTCTCACTTCCCATCTTAAAATTCTCAATATACTTTGTAAATATTTGTTTCTAAGTTGTAAAACACCCTTTGAATTATTTCACATAGACTATTTCGTCAAATATTCATAATTCGTCTTTTTTTTAGAAATATCTTAGTATCTTTTCGCACTGATATGTGGAAAAAAATTCAGTGTGAAATGTTATTACTGCGAAAGTTGATATTCAAGGTTTCACGATATAAACTGAGTATGAAATGCTATCACTGACAATGTTGGTGTTCAGGGTTTCATGAAATAAATTGAGTGTGAAATACTATATCTGCCAATGTTGGTGTTCAGAGTTTCATGATATAAATTGAGTGTGAAATGCTATCACTGCCAATGTTGGTGTTCAGGGTTTCATGATATAAATTGAGTGTGAAATGCTATCACTGTCAATGTTGGTGTTCGGAGTTTCATATAACTTCTGATATAGACTTTTCAAAATCTGAACACTGTGTATTTTGACCTACTCTCACACCTTCTCGTGGCTAAACGGTAAGTGTGAGGGCTTATAGCGGTAGAAATTTTGTTTCGATACCTCAATACAAATAGTCCGCTATGAATCTTTCGGCTTAAAAATAAACAGAGAAAACCCATCCTCACGTACCCTTTGTTAATGTCATATTTAATATAAATTCGTGGTTTCATAGACTATAATTAAATAAGAAAATGAAACTAGACTCACAGTTCAACCATGAGATTTGTCCTCCAAATTAGCTTGAGCAAGACACTCTTTATTAAATTAAAAAATTAATAGATAAATGTAAGTACGGAGCCAAAGCCATCTTGTCTATTGGTATAGTATATAAGTCGTTGAGCAGATTTATATTGCTTCTAATCATCACTTACGTTTTGTCCACAGAATTAATAGATAAATGTAAGTACGGAGCCTAAGCCATCTTGTCTATTGGTATAGTAAATAAGTCGTTGAGCAGATTTCTATTGCATCTAATCATCACTTACGTTTTGTCCACAGAATTAATTCTTCACTCGGCTGACTTGATCCTAGATGGTTTTTAGCAACTACTTTAAATAAATATTTCGTTTTAGGTTTCAGATTTCTGAAAATATAAAGGGAAGAGTTGATATTATGAAAAATGCTGTAGTTTCTGTCATCTTCCTTCTTCCAAAATACGTCGTAGGTTTGGCTATATCCACCGTCGAAGCCTGGTTTCCAGGAAACACAAGCTGAAATGTGGGTAACGTTACAAGTACGTATTTCAAATGGGCGGTCTGGTTCGCCTTTTAAAAAATAAAAATAAGAGACAGGTGACGTAAAATTAGCCATGTTAATTTCATTATTTTTAGTTGCTCAAAGTTTGCATTTTTTTTTATTCAGAACTCCAAAATTCAATACTCAGCCAACTTATTAATTACAAAACTAAACTGATTTTTTTAAAACTTCTTCTAAACATGTTTTTCTAACTGTTTCACATTTCCAAATGATCATATTCAATTGACAAAGATTTTTTGGCCAAATCTATGAAAACGGTAATAAATAAATTTAATTATAAAAGAAACTTCGAGGGAATTTTGTATTAACTTCATTAAGACCTCAAAATTTAATACTAACTGAATATATATTATTGGTTTAACTGACTACTTGATATTGGAAATAAATGTGGTAATTTTGTGTAGAAATGAACAACATTAAAGTGAATAATGTGAAATATTTACTTGATTTCACAAGATCTATGTCCACTGATGCTTTTCCAAGGACATTGGAAACATCACAAGTATAAGTGTCAAAGTCGGTCAAGGTAACGTCATATATATGCAGAATGTTGATCCAGTTCAAATCTTCGTTTCTTTCAGTTTTCGTGGTGTATTTCCACACAGGAAATACCCAACTGATTGGCCTACCTTTAAAATACCAATCAAACGTGACATCAGGCATTGCATCTACTTCGCACCTCATCACAACACTTTTACCTTCTTCGCCAGCAACTTTTGTTTCCATGTTTGACTCTAGAAACACTGGCCTGTCTAAGAAAGAAATAAAACCCCAAGTGAATATTCAAAACAAAAATACTGTCACGTTACTTTAAATACCCTTTGAAATAAACACTACAAAAAATTATGTTGTCCTTATCAGTTGTGGCTCAAACGATAAACTAATTAGTAATAAATAAAGAAGTATGAAATTGAATTGAATGATTCCACCGTTGTCAAAGAAAGGAAATGAATAAACCACGTATTTGAAATTTCAAAGCATCGAAGTATTTATCCAGTAAGTTGCAGATTTTTAAAAAATAAACAACTTAAAAAATTAAAATTGAAACAAAACAATCATCAGGACAAATTATTAGTAATTGTTTTCTAAAGCTTTTTATTCGAAAATTAAAAGGCATAAATTTGGACTAACACATTTTCGCTAATCGTATAGCTGTTAATTAAAGTGTGATTAGAATCCAACTTCTGACATTAAGCAGGTAATGTTGGTTTGGTTTACTATTTATAAAATTTAGAAGTAATTGTTATGGAGACCGAAGGCAATATTTGTTACGTTTATGATTTATAAAATTTTAGAATAATTGTTTTAGAAACCGAAAGTAATAATTGTTAGATTTATAATTTAAACAAATTTGGAGTAATTGGTATGAAAACCGAAAGCTGATAATAACAGAAAAAAACAGTTAGTGAAATTAGAACATAGCAGTAAGTATGTCAGATCGAGGTAAGTTAATGACGGAAAACTCACACATAACTGAAAGTTGTACTTGTTCGACATCGTGTTGGCCAATGCCATTAAAGGCTACACACTCGTACTCGCCGGAATGTGTTCTTGTTATCTTGTCGATTTCCAAGAGAAATCTTCCTGAACCTGAACTTCTGCTCTCCAAAACCGTGTCCACACCCCGTCGTCTCCACATTACCGTGTCGTGTGTTATTGGATTACCATCGATCCAACACTCTAGCATAAACTTCTCACCCTCTTTTACCATTTGGTTTTGGGTAAGATTTAAAATTGAAACTGGATCTGTAGAAAAAAAACAGAGCTCTCTTTACTTCCATAATTTTACAATTTAATGTAAAAGAAGCGTTGAACTGATATTTCGTACGGTTTCGTTTATTTTACTTTGTTCAACCTCGATGTTAATTTGCCATTAATTTTCTAGATATAAAATTATTACATGTAACTAAAAATATAAATTTAATGTAAAAAAAAAATACTTTGAACCGGTGTTTCGTTCAGTTCAATTTACTTTACTTTGTTCAACCTCGATGTTAATTTGCCATTAATTTTCTAGATATAAAATTATTATATATAACTAAATATACCCAGGAATCTCTTATATTGTATTGCATAGTTTTTGAAAGTACGAGATATATAACAATGTGGATGGTTATTAACATTACATAAAAGGACACCGTACTGGTGGCGTATAATTACGAGGTAGAAAAAAAAAAAGATACAACTACGGTTGATTCTTAGGGAAATACAATGCTGCTCTAAATTGTTATTTTAACCTTGAAGTTTGTATTTTACCTGCTCGTCATGTTTTACGTTATATGCATTTTTAGATTTACGCACATTTCATTAATATTTTAGTTAACCCTTTAAACACATGAATGCCTTTACATAATTGTACTAAGACATATATTACTCCTACACAAAACATTCAACTCTACAGATGCATTTGATGATCCTTCCTCATTCTCTGCCTTACAATAGTAGATTCCACTGTCCAATCGACTAGCGTTTTGTAATTTAAGAAACGGTCCTTCTGCAGTAATCCTCCGTCGTCCTTCATAATTAAAGCGCGATGAAGCTGGCGGGATCTTGATCTCGCGGAAAATCCACGTGTATTGAATGGGCGGTGGATTACCTCGTGCAGACATATTCACGACGACTGTCTGATTTTCTATGATATCAATCGTTTTGATGAGGTGCAAGAATACAGGTTTATCTAGAACGAAACAAAATATCTAAACACTCCCAGTAAATGTACATATAATATAAATATTTAATTAATTCCTCAGTCAATAGCTCCTCAGTGATCTTTTTTTATTATTATTATTATCAAATTGAAGAGACAGGTTAATTGTTTTACAACAGCAATTTCATGTGTCAATAAAATAGATATCATATCATATTTACTCAACGTAACATATTCTTGAATTTGCTAGTAGTTATTATCGTACGATTTTGAATTGTTTTTTTTTTAACTTACAGATCACCGATAGGAGAAACACATCTCTGACAATTCCTCGCGTGACTTTATTAACAGCTGAACACGTGAAGAGGGAGCCATCGTCTTCTGCTGTCACTACCAGTTCCAGCTTGCTGACCGTTGAAATTCCTCCATAAATAGCGTTTAAACGCTCTTCTTGTTCACTTTGTAATTCCTGATCGTTCCTCCACCAGGTGATACTTGCAGGGGGTTGGCTGCTATCTGTTACACACACCAAGGAAATCTATCGAGGAAAAAAAAAACCGGTGGAAAATCTAATGGCAATCACATATTTATGTTACGACATATGTAAAACATATATTTATTTTACATAGCCATAAATACTGTTGTAGTCTCACTCTTCGTACGTTAAGGCAATAAACATATACAATCCCTTTTCAACATAAAAATAACATGTTTACGGCGATCTTCAATAAAACCTTAGAGCAATCGATTATATACAAACAAAAAACAATGTTACTCATGAAATGGAAACAATCTAATGTTTTGTAGTCTCATCAAATTATAGAGAATTTCTTCTAGAATTGAAAGTGTAAAAGGAAGACCATGACGCAAAGCGATACGTACTAAGTCGGGAAGACATACATTTGTTTCTTTTTTATTCAGAAAAATAGAAACAAAAATTGAGAAAATTGAAGTTCTAGTGAGATAAATATCAATGCATAGGTTTAAAGAAATAACCCTAATACTCTCCATTGTCTCAATTTTATCTAACGTTTTCAAATATTTGTTTCTGACACATAAACAATTCACTAGCTGTCCGACTTTCAAAAGATCCATGCTGTCATCTCAATTCAAGCCATTTTATCATATCATCAATCACATGGCACTAAGAGATATACAAGAGAACATAAAAGGTGACGCATGACGTATTTAGAACCTATACTAAAGGATTCTATCGAAATAAAAGAAGCCAAGCTAGACCATACAGTTAGATGTTAGTGCAAGTAAAAATAAATATTTTAAAATGGAACAAAATAATGTATTCCCAAAGTGGCCAGCATTTTAAGAAGGATATTAGCTGAGCCATATTATCGTTAACTAGTAGTAGGCTGTAGAATCACTGACTTCACAAATAATAACTATTTCATTGATACAAAGTAGTAGCTTGACATCTGACAAAAATATATCTCAATCGGATGTATGTCCACGTTTCAATACATCGAGTAAGCTTTCAGCTCCTGTCTTCGAGTCGAATTCGGAAAATTGTTACATAACAATACCAAAGTTTCGGAAATGTGTAGATAATAAATCGGAATGCGAGGCATTCAATATCTGTCACTGTGGAAATGTTGAGATATCATAAAATACAGAGATATGTAATGATGGAAAAAAAAACGTATAAGCAAATATTCATCTGAATTGTTCAAGGTTACTGACCCTTTAGTCGCAGAATTTAAAAGAAATAATTATATATATATCTTATAATGATTTATCTGTGTTTCTAATTGAAGGAATTTCGGCTGTTGGCATCGAAGTGTTATACATATACTCAAATATGAATGCACTAACTTTAACGCCCTCTGGATAATATTGTGCATTTTATAACACAATTATAAGACCTATTTAACTGCCCATTCTAATCATTAATACGGATTTTTATATACATAAAATGAAGACTTTGCGTAGAGAATAACAGGCAAGGTATTTGAAGTCAAACAGTTAACCATTCTACTAGGTTTAATAACATTCTATAAAGGAAGTAAAGTCCCCCTGGTGGAACAATGGTAACTTCACGGACTAACAACGTTAAAATTTGGGGTTTGTTTCCCCGAGGGGGACACAGCAGATAGTCTAATGTGGCTTTGATCTGAAACAAACAAACAGACAAGTAAAAATAAAATCAAATGAACATAACTTAAAAGGCATGCACGAATCGTGGGTTATTTCTCATTATATTCATTTAACCGTTGTTTCTTGTCTTAACAGTACTGTAAGACAAACGAATCTTATGAGGGACTTCCTACAAACGTTTTACTCATGTGAATAAACAACTCTCTCCTACCCCACAATTATTAAGGTTTATAACAGATTAAGAAAATATTTCCAATGATTTGCACACTATATTACACCATCGGGTTAAGCTTGATAGCCAAATATGTGTAAATTACTACGAAGATTTCTACATAAGGAGTTGTTACTGTGTATCAATCTTGGGTTAATGCAGATTAAGAAAATATTTCCAATTATTTGCACACTATATTACACCATCGGGTTAAGCTTGATAGCCAAATATGTGTAAATTACTACGAAGATTTCTACATAAGGAGTTGTTACTGTGTATCAATCTTGGGTTAATGCAGATTAAGAAAATATTTCCAATTATTTGCACACTATATTACACCATCGGGTTAAGCTTGATAGCCAAGTATGTGTAAATTACTACGAAGATTTCTACATAAGGAGTTGTTACTGTGCATCAATCATGGTTTAATGCAACATTGCTCTTCATTGTATATGAATCACATAGTGGCATCTGCTTTTGATAACGATGTTTATACGGTATTTTTATGTGAGAGCAGACTTATTGGTGCTGAAATCTAATTCAGTTATGATTTTATTTTTTTTATAATTTGTTCTCTATTTTTTCACTGATCATTCATATATTTATGTTTAATGCTCGAGTTCAATTAATATTGTCAATCACACACTGAAAAATATCAGGTTAAACAACAAAAAGTATTCTAAGGCAAGATAATGTGGCATCACATTTGTCTGGCTCTATTTGTAGGGGATATGTTGGCGCTACAGTCGTTAATTTGTAAATAAAGGGGAGATGTTGGCGCTACAGTCGTTATTTTCTAATTATAGAAATTTTGATTAGTAAATCTAAATAAAGCGACACGTGAGAGACTATATTATTTGCAATTGATTATCAGGAATGAACATTTATAATGTTAATATTTGGTATTTAATGTGTCTTTTTTTTTAAAGATCCATCCGGAGAAGATAATAGACAAATATATAAAAAATACTAACAACAAAAGATTCTTATTCTTAACATACAACTAAGGAGCAATATAATTCAAATATTCGATATAAAAAATAAAAGGCACACTGAATTCCGAACAATACAGGCATTAAATCAACAAACAATAAAGCCGATAACCCAAGTACTTTCGGGAGTTTGATCTCTCTTTCGATGAGAAGAACGGTCTATCTTCAGAAAGAGCTCGAGATTATGGGGTTTCTAGTTTGTGATTTATAGAATTTCTGATCCTACTTAAAGTAACTCGATAAGTGAAGCCTACAGTAAATAACAATACATGTTATTGAAGCTGTG